AACAGAACAGAGAATATAATATTTTGTTTCGTTTTTCGTGAAACTGAAGTAAGTGAAAATATGAGATTACACATTATTTTCGGGAAAAGAAGAGCAGATTCAGTTAACAAAATTATGTTTTGCAAATATGGTTAAATTCTATTCAATTTGGCTTTAGATCGCTTAAGTCGCACGTAAGGTGATATCATTATGCACACGTAGAGTCGCATGGCATTTTCAAAAGTTGACATTTTCGGAACTAAACATATGCTACTCGAAAATACACCAACAAGGGTTAAAGATACTGGCAGAGAAGAAGGGGAAATAAAATTTGTTGTCTCCCTTCAATTCATGGAATACATACACCACCTGCTTCGTGCTTAAGTTAAGCCTAGGCTATAGGAAGCTCTGCCAGCAAAAAATTGGAGTATTGCAACCGATTACGTTTTCAAAACTTTCTGAAAAGCTTAATTCGGTGACTGTAAAGTTTCTGCTCCGACTACAGTTTTGTTTTTTTGTCTTTTGTCTTTTGTTATTCATCAGTGTGCTACTTTGGTATCTTATTCTGGGTAAACAAATACGTCATTGATATTAACGCTAGAATTTTTTATGAAATTCTCTAATCAGGAGTCCCAAATAAAGCTGCTGTGCAAGGAAAAGGTATCAGTCAAAACAAGATGCTTAATTCAGACTATACTGCACCTTTTTTTTACCCTGATCGTCGCTTTTCTTTGCTCTATATCCTTTCATAAAAAGTTTAATTCATCCGAGTACTCACGCGGTTCTTTTGCAGAAGCAATACCTAGCACTAATGATAGTTCCAGAGCGAATTCTTCGTAAGCAAATGACCCCGAGCAAATACGTGGCCGTGGGCAACGTCACAGACGCAATCCGATTTCGTACGATGAGTAGTGGAGGTAGGTTCGGTGTTTGAGCTACGTTATCTTATGCCCATTTATACAACTTCCTACACCCCCAATCTTGAAGTACAGTAGACGCCGTTGATCATGCAATATTTCGACATATGCGAAAGACTTATACTCTTTCGCTAATCGGAATTGATTCCAGTTGTGATACTGATTATTGTGTAGTCTATTCTAAAGTCATTGCAGTCAGTATAGGATGCCGGCTTTTAAACGAGCTTCGATTCGACTACTAGCAAAACTTATCTATTGTAAAAACTGACTACTTAAGTAGTATGCCTTT